TTCCTCCCTTCTCCTGCTGCTTGTTTATATCCTCCTTCCTCTTCCTCTTTCCCTTCCCTTTCTTCTCTCCCTCTCCTGTCCCCTCCTCCTTCTCCTGCTTGTCTATATCCTCCCCCTCCTCCCCTCCTCCTCCCTCTTCCCATTCCCCTCTTCCTCCTCTTCTCCTCCTCCTCTTCCTCCTTGTCTATATCCTCCCCCTCCTTTCCTTCCTTCCTTCCTTCCTTCCTTCCTTCCTTCCTTCCTTCCTTCCTTCCTTTCCTCCTCCTCCTCCTCCTCCTCCTCCTCCTCCTCCTCCTCCTCCTCCTCCTCCTCCAATTAAGACTTCTGGTGAACACAGAAACCAGCACCTCTTATGAATTTGAGTGGCCCTAATTAAGTTACTGGGACGTGGTGGCTCAGCGGCTAAGACGCTGAAAGGTTGGCGGTTCGAATCCCTAGCACCGCGTAATGGAGTGAGCTCCCGTTCCTTGTCCTAGCAGCTTCTGCCAATCTAGCAGTTCGAAAGCATGTAAAAAAAAATGCAAGTAAAAAAAGAGGGGCCCCTTTGGTGGGAAGAGAACAGCGTTCCGTGCTCCTTCGGGCGTTTAGTCATGCCGGCCACATGACCATGGAGACGTCTTCGGACAGCGCTGTCTCTTCAGCTTTGTGACGGAGATGAGCACCAGCGCCCCCTAGAGCCGGAAACAATGAGCATGGATGTGTGAGGGGAACCGTTACCTTTTACCTTTAATAAAGTTATACTCTGGTTAGGAATTTAGATGGGTAGTCTATTGTTATTTTTTGTCCCCTTGCAAGGCTCAAAATGGTTATGTTGGAGTCTGATTGTGTATGAAGCATTAGTTTCTTTGTTTAGTTTTGTAAGCTTCACATCTCATAATTCGGGCCAATTCAGAGTCCTTTCCGATGTGAAAGCAATTGAAGCGACGTTCACCTCCTCTTGTTTCTTTCCGGCTTTCCAGTTTGGGCTTTGGCCTCCAACTTCCCACCATCAGAAACCATCCACATAGCCCAATTCCCACCCTACCACACTTTTGGGAAAATGATCCTCCTCTTTTTAGATGACCCCCGATCCCCTCCTGCCTGCAACTGGTTCCGAGGGAGAGATCAAAGCAAGAAAAGTCACATTTTCAGAGGGCAGTCCGATCCCGTCTCGGGATATTATAGAATCAACCAAACGGGGCCAGCCTTCACGGGACGGGAAGATGTGGAGAAAGGATGCTCCTTAATCATCCAAAACGTACAGGACTCTGATGCTGGACCTTACACTGTCTCCATGGTGGGGCTGGGAGGAAAGGACTGTGTAACTGGAGTGAGAAACCTGCAACTTTCTTGTAAGTATCGAAGACGGGGGTTGCGGAGCTATTGGAAAAGAATCGAGTTGGGGTCTATTCGGTGGTGGTATTCAAATGGTTTTACTAAACGGTTCTGTGGGCGTGGCTCGGTGGGCGTGGCTTGGCTTGGTGGGAGTGGCTTGGTGGGCGTGGCAGGGGAAGGATACTGCAAAATCCCCATTCGCTCCCCACCCTACTAACCTGCTTTCCAGCTCCGTTCTCCTGTGCAGGGCAACCAAAGGAGACCCAGCCAATGATCAGCTGGGACTCGATGGGAGGCAGAGAAGAGATGGAGTTGGCGGGGCCAGTCAGAGGAGGGATTTGCTGGTTCTCCAAACTACTCAAAATTTCCCCTACTGGTTCTCCAGAACTGGTCAGAACCGGCTGAATACCAACACAGGATCTATTGGTGGGGGACAACTGAAGGGTAAAAGGGAAGAATGGCCTTAGGGACTCCTGTTCCCTCCCCTTCCCTCCCCCCTTCCTCTAACCTCCCCTCCTCTAACTTCCCCTCCCCTAACTTCCCCTTCTCTTCTCCATTGTTTCCCCTCTTTCTCTTTTGTCTTCCCTTTCCTTCCCCTTCCTCCTCTTCCTCTTCCTTCCTTCCCTTCCCCTCCTTTCCCTCCCCTCTTCTCCTCCAACTTCCCCTCCCCTAACCTCTCCTTCAGTGGTGGGATTCAAAAATTTTTACTACCAGTTCTGTGGGCGTGGCTTGGTGGGCATGGCAGGGGAAGGATACTGCAAAATCTCCATTCCCTCCCCACCCTACTAACCTGCTTTCCAGCTCCGTTCTCCTGTGCAGGGCAACCAAAGAAGACCCAGCCGATCAGCTGGGACTTAGGAGGTAGAGAATAGATGGGGATGGCAGGGCCAGTCAGAGGTGTTATTTGGCGGTTCTCCGAACCATTCAAAATTTCCGCTACCAGTTCTCTAGAACTGGTCAGAACTGGCCGAATTCCACCTCTGATATTCCAGATTCCCCTTTCATCTCCCATCCTGAAGCCACCCGCTTGGTCCAATTCCCACCAAACCCACGGGTTGGCCAATCAGTCTACCTGTACTTAGACGATATCCCAAATCCTACCGACTGCAGCTGGTTCCGTGGGAAGGATCGACGCGAAGAAGGACGGATCTTCAGAGCAAAATTTAGTAGGACCAGCCATTCCTATCTCATTGATCAAAAAGGAGCAGCCCACAGAGGACGGGAGGAGGTGTGGAGAGCGTGCGCCTTAGTTATCCGAAAAGTGGAGGCCTCGGATGCTGGACCTTACACAATCTCCGTGGGGGATGAGTGGGACGCGTATCCCATAACGGCATGGAGAGAATTGCGAGTATCCAGTAAGTGCCAAAGATGGGGACTGCGAAGAGGTTGAGAAAGTATTGAGTGTGGGGGTAGGAGGTAGAATCTATTAGTAGGGGCAACTGAGAGGCAAAAGGAGAAGGATAACCCCGAAGTACAGGTAGACAGAAAGGAAGGGGGAGGGAGGAAGCAAGCAAGGAAGAAAAGAGATGGCAATGAAAAGAAGGAAGGGAGGAAATGAGAATTGGAGGGA